GGATTTTCCATACCAGGTACACTCTACCCTGATAAAATAAATCCAGGACTATTCCCGCCCCCCATCACCAAAAAAAAAAAAGTAAATCTTATGTCTGCAGATAGAAGGCACAAAGGATAGGGAATCAGGAAGGCTCCTGCTTTGGACACTTGCTAACTTCGGGACCCCAGTCAAGTCCCTTAACCCCACCTCCATCCTCAGTGTTCTGTGAAATGGGAGTAACAGTCACTGACTTCACAGGGCTGAAGTGAGCATCAAATGACAACAAAGAAGAACTTGTTTTAAACCTTCAAGCATTAAATAAATGCTAGCTATTTTTTTCAATTCTGAAGAAAGCGCTTTGTAAAACAGCGCTATCCAACTACCGTCATTTCAGGTGAGGGGAATGGAAACTGGAAACTCTCGTTCTGATCCTCACTTACTCTGATGCTACCCCATGGTAGGATTTTGGACAACTCACTTCCCTCATCTGTCCAGTGAGGGGGGCTGGGCTCAATGGCCTCGAAGGCCCCTTCATGCTCTCACAGTCAATAATTGTTAGTAAGGGCATCAGTTCAACGTCTCTCAGAAACCCTCTCATCAACCCCCTCATTTTATTAGAAAGAAATTGGGACCCAGAGAAGGAAGGTGAGAGGCCCGTGGTCACATGGGAAGTTAGGGTCAGAGGCGGGACTTGAACCCAAGTCGCTGAGACTGGAACCTCAGTACTCATCATCATCTCAGGGCCTAGTGGCCTGATCGCCGCTCCGTCCCTTTGCATGGGCTTTCCTCATTCCTAGAATGTTCTCCCCACCTCACCCAGATTCCTTCAAGGCTTAACTCAGATACCACTCCCACCATTTGCCAGTGTCCTCTGTCTCCCTAGAAATTATTTTGCATTTATTTCCTTAGAGGATTAGAGATTTATATTTAGAGGGGGCCTACATTTCAGAAATGAGGAAACTGAGACCCCAAGATGTTAAGTGATTTGCTCCAAGTTGCAGTGAGTGTCTGAGGCAGGATTTGAACTCAGATCTTTCTGGTATCAAGTCGAGCACCTTACCCACTGAACCAGGCTGCCTCTCACTGTGTAATTGTGTACATGTTGTTTCCCTCCTGTGGAATGTAATCTTGATGACAGAGTCTATCTTTTGTGCTTGTATCCCATCACCTAGCACACAGTAGGACTTCAAGAAATGCTTATTGAATGACTGACTGAAGAAAGGAGAAGTCAATTCCTAGCTGTGTGACCCTGGGCAAGTCACTTAATCCCGATTGCCTCACCAAAAAAAAAAAAATGAGAAGTCAAGCTTCCTCTGACCATCCAGGGGTGAAGAGAAATGGGGTCATCTTAGCCTGTTAGAACCAGATCTCCAGAAAAGGTGAGGTGCAAATACCCAACCAGAACCTGCCCCAACTTCATTTCAGACCATTCCAAGACAGGCCATTTCTGCAACATTTTTTTTTAACTATTCTAAGAGCAAAGGAATTTCGTGAGAGGAATTTCCATAACTGTCCTACTTGGCTGGCAGTTTCCAAACTCTCTTTATTCCGAGCCCTAGAGATCTGAACTATTCCCAAAGCATTTACCTGCCCTTCTTTCCATCACATTTCTGCTTAGTGAGAAAATACCTGTTTTCAGTGGCATAAAAACCCATTCTGACATTTTGAAACCTCTCCCTAATCTTTATCCACCATGTCGTCTCTGTCACTACTTGGGCCTGGACTCTGGGAAGGCCAAAGCTAATCTTCCTTCCACTCACACAAGGTTATTTTAAACTGCTGTGGGCAAATCCCTCTCCTTCCCTAAGCTGACTCAGTTCCCTTATCTGAAAAAATAACCGCAAGCACTTATATGATACTTTAACATCCACAAAGAGCCTTACAAATAGTATCTCATTTTATCCTCATATCAACTGTGAGTGGGAGATGCTATTATTATCACTCCCATTTTACAGATGAGGAAACTGAGGCAGGTCAGGAGTCACGTGATTCGCAAAGCTAGTAAGTATCTCAAACCAGATTTGAACTCTGGTCTCCCTGCCTCCAGGCTCTTTCCAGTTTTCTTGACTCCCAAGTCAAGGTGGAATGAGCATGAGAAAGCATCATTTCACACATAAAACAGTCTTCATTCTGCAACAGAAAACGTACTAACTCAATCCCACTTCTCAGGGTGTCATTTGCTTGACCTGTCTGGGCTCAGTTTCCTCGTCTGTAAAATGAGGAAGGTCGGCCTCCCCCTATGGTCTGGAAGCCTAGCAAGGGGCAGGAGCCAGGGTCCCCTCGGTCCACTGCTCTAAATTCTAGGATCCCAACAAAAGCTCGGAGCCCAGCCAGACTAGAGAAGGCTTCAGAGTTGAGACTAATGAACCATGAGCCTGGAGGCCTCTCTGCCACTAATGTCACTGGGTCACCTCTGCCCTTCAGTCTCTTCACCTGTAAAGCATAATACCCTCTCGGGGTCCTATCCAATCATGGAATGATATGAGCCTAACTGTGGCTAAGCTTATTTCCAGCCCCTGTGGCTCTCCTGAAAAGCTCTCCCCGGGAGGAAAAGGCCATCTGGCTGAGACATCTGTCACCCTGATGACTGCCAGAGTGCTCTTGTCGGAATCGATCTGCTCTCTGGACCCGGCTCCTCCTTCTCCCCCACTGCCTCCCATGTACTAGAAAGAAGGTCTAGAGAGAATGAGACTAGACTCATCCAGGAGGCAAAAGCCATGGGCTGGCCTTGTGGCTAGGCCACTCATAGACTGGGTAACTCTGGGCAAACTCCTTAATCTCTCTGAGCTCCAGCTCCCCCATCTGTAAAATGGGAAGAGAAATATTCACACTGCCTGCCTCATAAGGCAGTAGTGAGGAAAACACTTGGTAGATTGTGAAGTGCTCAATAGTAATGTAATTGCTTACATTTATATACATGTATATAAAATCTCATTCAATATCGTGGTAAAGATGCATGACCTATTGTTATCACTCATGCTGAGGACTCACACCTTTCCCCAAAAGAGTCAATAATCAAACGTTTATTAAACACCTCCTATGTGCCATGCACTGTGTCAGGCCCAGGAGATACAAACAAACATTAAATACTCCCTACCTTCAAGAAGGTGATGAAGAAATAAGGAATAGTTAGCATTTATAAATGACTGTAATTTTTCAAAACACTTTAGCAATATTATCTAATCCACAACAACCCTGGGATATAGGTGCAGTTATTATCCCCGTTTTAAAGGGAAACTGAGGCAGACAGCACTTGAGTGACTTGCCCAGGGTCACCCAGCTAGTAAGCGTCTGAGGCTGCATTGGCACTCTGGTTTTTCTGACTCCAGGCTCAGCGCTCTGTGCATTCTGGCGCCCCCTCGAAGTCTGAACTAAGATGACAGAGGACATTCTCTACATCCCCAGGGCCAGAATCTGCCCAGAGGTCTGTAGGGTAACTTACTTTTGCCAGCAAGGAGGCCTGGAATAGCATCAGCCCGCTCCCTTGGTTTAGAAATCTGGCATCAGGGGAGCTTTGCTGGCTCGCTTCGTGGTCCACCAGACAACCCTGATCCCTGTTCTCTTTTCCAATTAACAGGAAACTCGGACAACAAGGCTTTTTTCTACAAATATCCATCTGGCCTAATGGTGGGTCTGGCCGTTCATGAAAGGAGAAGGCTATGTTCTCGGACCAGGAGTCAGAGAAAAAGATGCTGGATTAAAAAAAAAAAAGCTTTGAAACAAGCTATGTGTGGGGTTTGAAACAAGCTCAAAATGATTGGGGAATGGATGAACAGACTGTGGTATTATGCATATTCCGTGTCCCTTTCTTGGTTGATTTTCACCCCCCCCACCTCCAGCTTGAAATTACTTTGTATATACCCTGAGGGACAGCTAGGTGGCGCCATAGTGCACAGAGCCCCAGACTCTTCTCTAATTCAAATCTGGCCTCAGATACTAGCTATGTGACCCTGGGCAAGCCACTTAACCCTATTTGCCTCAGTTTCCTCATCAGTAAAATGAGCTGGAGAAGGAAATGGCAAACCACTCCAGTGTCTTTGACAAGAAAACCCCAGAATGGGGTCACAGAGAGTTAGACACAAGTGAAATGACTGAACAACGACAATGCAGGGGGTAGACTGGGAGAGCTAGAGTTCAAGGTCCTGAGTTCCAATTCTGGCTCTTTCCAGTGGTCATGTGACCTTGGATAAGTCACTTCCCTTACAGAGGGCCTCAGTATATAAAAAGGGTTGGACTAGATCAGGGTAGGAGGGGCAGCTAGGCAGAGAAGTGGATAGAGCACCCGCCCTGAAGTCAGGAGGATCTGAGTTCAAATCCAGCATCAGACCAAACACTTCACACTTACTAGCTGTGTGACCCTGGGCAAGTCACTTAACCCCAATAGCCAAAAAAAAAAAGTCTAGATCAGGGTAGGAGAACCTGCAGCCTCAAGGCCACATGTGGCCCTCTAGGTCCTCAAGTGTGACCCTTTGACTGAATCCATACTTCACAATACAAATCCCCTTAATAAAAAGATTTGTTCTGTAAAACTTGGATGTGGTCAAAGGGACTTAGAAGTGACCTGTGGCCACAGTTTCCTCACCCCTGGGCTAGATGGTGTCTAAGGTTTCTTCCAGCACCAGATCTATAATCCTATGAAAATTTCAATTGATCTACTCAACCTTTCTTTAAAAAATCATGGGTTTGATTTCCCTAAAACTAATGGATATAGTAATGAGAATCAAAATGCTAATAATGTGCGTAAAAGTGCTTTTCCATTGGAAAGAACGTGGAGACGCAAGTTAATGTGAACATGCCGGCCCCTTGAAATCCCTGACCAACACCCTAAGCTGTCCCAAGCAGACCATTTCTCCTGTTGTTAGTGTTCTCAATGGAGGGGAAAAGAACAGCAGTGCACGTCTGCATGATGACACCCGTTCCTATTTCACAGGGATTCTCCTTTGGGGTCCCACGGCCATCCAGAACGGGCCAGCCCTTTGTCTTGTACCAGTCGGGTCTCCCGGCCGCAGGGGTCTTACCTGTGCTGTGAAGAAGGCTGGAGTGAGAGATCCTGAGGGAAGGGCTGGGCTGTTGAGGGCAATAGAGCCGATGTCGTTGCTGGACAGGACCAGCGGCGGGGCTGAGATTTCCAAACCTTTGGGTTTTTTAGCCTTTGGGGGGAGAGATGGCGATTTTGTCTTGGAGCCCGAGGAGAGATTCAGAGGCTCCAGAGAGTCAGAATCCCGGTAGCTGGACTCTAGGAAGAGACTCCTGGGTTCCGACGGGAGCGGGGAGTCCGGGGACAGGGAAGGGGACCGGGAGGAGCTTGGGGAGGCGGAGGAAACGCTGGCTGCACCGGGCAACATTAAGGAGGAGATTTTCGCGGAGACCGAAGAGGTCAAAAAGGCTGAGGCGGCCGCGGCCTCCGAGGTGGACGGCAGAGACACCACGGGCCTCATGATGGGCTTCTCTGTCTTATTAGTCACAAACCTGATGACCGTCCTGACCTCGTCCACCGGAGGGGCGCCCCCGTCCAGCGGCTCCTCCAGCTTCTCCATTTTAATGGGCTTAAACGTGTCCGGCTGGTTCTGCAGCGAGTTAATGGTGAAGGACGAGTACAGGCCCGAGTGGATGTACTCGTTCCGGCTGGCGCTCTTGAGGGCCGACAGGCTGGGCTTGTGCGCGTCGCGGCCCTCCGAAGGCACTTTGCAGTCGCCGTCCGGCAGCAGCAGGCTCTCCCGGCTCAGCTCCACCGCGTGGGGGTCCATTTTGAGGATCTCGGGAAAGGACACAAATTTGTACACGAACTTCTGGCCGATCACCTTCTTGATGATGTTCTGTGGACAGAAGACGAGAGGGTGGAAGCGTCAGTACAAGAAAGCAGGCGCGGCAGAAGGGACGGCAGGGCTGCGGAGTCAGGCCCGGGGGGGGGGGGGGGGGGGTGGACATTGCTGCTCTAACGCCCAAGTCAGCCCAAGTCAGCCCCCGTCCGCTTTCCATGGTGCTGCCTCGTCCTGAGGGGAGAGGAAAGAAGGAAGGCAGAAAAGGAAGAGAGGGGAAAGGACAGGCAAAGGGAAGGGAGGGGAGAGGAGGGGAGGAGAGGTGTAAAGGAAAGGAAGAGAAGGGAAGGGAAGAGAGGGGAAGGGAAAGGAAAAGAAAGGAAGGGAAGGGAGGGGAAGGAAGAGAGAGGAGATGGGAGGGGAAGGGAAAGGAAAGGAAGAGGAAGGGAAAGGGACAGGGAAGAGAAGGGAAGGGAAGAGAGGGGAAGGGAGGGGAAGGGAAAGGATGGGCTGAGAAGGAAAGGGAAGAGAGGGAAAGGGAAGGAAGAGGAAGGGGAAGGGATAGGAGGGGAAGGGAAAGGAAGAGGAAGAGAAAGGATGGGATGAGAAGGAAAGGGAAGAGAGGGAAAGGGAAGGAAGAGGAAGGGGAAGGGATGGGAGGGGAAGGGAAAGGAAGAGGAAGAGAAAGGATGGGATGAGAAGGAAAGGGAAGGGAAAAGAGGGGAGGGGAAGGGAAGGGAAAGGAAAGGAAGAGGAAGGGAAAGGGAAGGGAAGAGAGGGGAAGGAACAGGAAGAGAAAGGATGGGATGAGAAGGAAAGGGAAGGGAAAAGAGGGGAGGGGAGGGGAAGGGAAAGGAAAGGGAAGAGAGGGGAAGGAAGAGGAAGGGAAGGGAGGAGAAAAGGAAAGGAAAGGGGGAGAAGGAAAAAGGAAGAGAGGAGAAGGGAAAGGAAAGGAAGGGGAAGGGAGGGGAAGGGAAAGGAAGAGGAAGAGAAAGGTTGGGATGAGAAGAAAAGGGAAGAGAGGAAAAGGGAAGGGAAAGGGAAGGAAGAGGAAGGGATGGGAGAGGAAGGGAAAGGAAGAGAAAGAGAAAGGATGAGATGGGAAAGGAAGGAAAGGGAAAGGAAGGAGAGGGAAGGGAAGGGAAGGGAAGAGAAGGGAAGGGGAAGGAAGGGAAAGGAAAGGAAGAGGAAGAGGAAGGGAAGGGAAGGAAAGGAGGGAAAGAGAAGGGAGAATCAAATCAAATTCTCTTCTACAGAACATTTAAAGCAAGTCTGTAAATCTACAAAATCAACATCTTTTTTTAAAAAAAATTCCTCCTAATTCTTAGAGCTGGAATTCAAAAGCATTAGAATAGAGCCCCAGTTATCAGTCCCCCCAGACCACTTCTGTTCACTGTCAGTATCTTGGGCTCTAACACACATTTCCACCAACTTAACTCCATTGACTCCACCTGACCTCATCCTCACACTCAGGCTAAACTGATGCCAAAAACAACTTGCAAAACCTCATGGCCAACATAAGTTAAAAATCCCCCCAGGCCTCATGGCCAAAAGTGTGTAGCATTCTTCATGGGAATTTGTGGGTCATTACCTCAGAGGCAGGGGCAGCAAGGTGGCAAAGTGAAAAGAGTGCCAGCCCTGGAGTCGGGAAGGCCTGAGTTCAAATCTGACCTCAGACACTTCCTAGCTGTGACTCTGGGCAAGCCACTTCACTCTGTTTGCCTCAGTTTCCTCTTCTGTAAAGTAAGCTAGAGAAGGAAATGGCAAACCACTCCAGGATCTCTGCCAAGAAAACCCCAAATGGGGTCAGGAGGAGTCAGACATGACTGAACACAACTAAATAACAATAACCACCCCCTCAGGGGCATCTTTGATTCTTTATAGGAACATAGGTTTCAAGCTGAAAGCAAGTAGCTTAATACGGAGGATCTTAAATCCAAGTTGAAAGGGGCATTTACAGATTGTCTAATCCAAGCCTCTCATTTTACAGATGAGCAAACTAAAACCCATAGGTCAGCAAACATTTATTAAGTACCTACCGTGTGCCAAGCACCATGCTAAGTGCTGGGAATACAAAGAACTTTTTAAAAAAAAAAAAAAAGGAGCCCACAGTTTAATGGAATCTAATAGACTAATCTAAGGACTAGTGGGGGGAGTCACAGGGCAGTAAGGAGCAGCACTGGACTCTGAACACTGCCTGTGCTCTGTCCATACCCCTACACGGCTGTCCAGGTGCTGGGCAGACTCAGTTTCTCTTCTAGCTTCATTTACAGATAGAGGCATTAGTGTGATGGACAGCATTCTGGACCCAAATCCTGCTTCAGGTACTTACTAGCTGGACCAGTCACTCAACCACCCTAAGCCTCAGTGTCCTCATCTATAAAATGGACCCCAGAGATCCCTTCAAGCAGATCTATGAACCTGTGACTTAGTGTTTTTGTTCAGTCATTTCATTCATGTCCAGCTCTTTGTGACCCCATTTGGGGTTTCCTTAGCTGAGATACTGAAGTATACAACTGGTCTGAGTGACACAATCAAAAAATGTAAATTAGAAAAATTAAGAAATAAGAAATGTGAAGCATTCAAAGAAACTTGAGAAGACTTGTATGAACTGATGCAGAATAAAGAGAACAGAACCAGAAGAACAATTTACACACTGACCACAATCTGATAAAGGAAAGCAAGATTATCGTGTGCCCAATTATGACTTCATGCCTCCCCATTCCTGGAAGAAATTAGGGACAACAGTACGTTCCCAATTTTTAGACAGAGTCAAGGAGTACCAGCTCTTAGCTTGATTGTGCTCATTTGTTATGAGAGAGGGTTTCTGTTTCAGAGAAGGTAGGTAGTTAGTGGGTAAGGATAGAGATCCCAAAAAAGTCAAAAAGAACACCAATAAAACACTTAAAAACTCAGAAGAAAGGAGAGGCTTAAATGATAGAAACAAAGCAATTTAGTTACTACCTTAAATGTATTACATACTTTTAAAAAAATAAACTGTAACAGGATTCGTCATTTCATACAAAATCCCCTTTTATCTGCTTCTTTTTATATTAAAATGTTGTTTCTGTTGATTATATTCATTAACAACAACAACGAAAAAGAAAAGGCTTTCAAATGGGAAAGTGGGGTGGGTGGTGGAAGCTTCCACCATAAATAACCACAAGGTCAGGACCTATCAGATGTGAAGTGGAGTCAGGAGACAGAGGAGCTCGCTGGTCGCCTGGAATATTTCATACCAATGAATAAGGGGATGCATGCTTTTTGTTGCCTGGCAACCTAGCAAGAGGTCACCTATAGCGAGCTCCACTAAGTAGCTCGCCATGGTTTCAGGATGATCAAACACATCTGTTCTACCTGGTAGGCATTGAATCAGCTCATTTTTAATTCCCCATTAAATTTTGATTCACAAGAAATGGCTGGCCTGTCTGTATGGGTATTTAATAGGAGAGAGAATAATGGAATTGGAGATGGGGAACAATTATGGCGCCAGAGGAAATGAAAATTCAACCCAAAGGGAATACATTTCACTCTGGGGTGGGAAAGCTAATGATGTCTTTGGAATATCACTTCAACTAAAGGTTTTAAATCGAAACCCCCTAGTGAAAAGGACCTATACTTTGCATGATTATGCATGCAGGAAGATGCCAACAGAATCCTTCATACCATTAATAGCAAGGCAATCCTTTCCCTCTCTCCCCATTAAAACCTATTGCATTTCTGTTACCTTATAAGTGTGTTATAAGATTATTTTCATAGAATCAAAAAACCTTAGGGCTGAAAAAGACTCCAAGGTTTAAAAAAAAAAGACTCCATGGGTTGCCTCCTAAGACTCCTATCAGACACATGAATCTCATTTCTTCCACTAAATATATCCCAAAGAGTAAGAGACTTACCTTCCATTTCCCTTGTATTGCCCCTTTTGCCCCCACCTCATCTCATCTTCCTCCCCACCCCTTCCCCACACTCCATTTTCTATACCCAGTACAGAACAGGTACTATAAAGATGCTGATGACAGTTGTGAACTGGTCCAATCATTTTGGAATGCAATTCAGAATTATGCCCCAAAAGTCACCGAACTGTGCATACCCTTTGACCTAGCTATATCACTACTAATTCTATATCCCTAAGAGATCAAAGAAAAGGACCGAGATAAACAACAATATTTCTAACAGTTCTCTTTGTCGTAACAAAGAACTGGAAATTAGGGGAGCGCTCTCTTGGAGAATGGCTGAAAAAAATTACATAATATGAATATAGTGGAATACTACTGTACCATAAGAAATGACCAAAGGTGTGGTTTCAGAGAAACCTGGGAAGGCTTGTGTGAACTAATGAAGAACTACATGAGCAGGACCAGGAAAACAATTTATACAATCAGGCAAACAGGTCTGAAAGACTTAAGAACTCTGATCAATTCAGTGACCAGCCAGGATTCCAAAGGACCCATGATAAAGTATTCTATCCACACCTTCTGAAAGAGAGGTGATGGATTCAAGATAAAGAGTGAGACGGACATTTTTGGAGAGGGCCAACAAAGGAACCATGTTTTGCGTAACTGTGAATATTTGTTACTAGGACTTTGTCAGCTCCTTGAGTGTGGTGGTTGTTCAACCATATCCAACTCTCCAACTCCATTTTGGGGTTTTCTTGGCAAAGATACTAGAGTAGTTTGCCATGTCTTTCTCCAGCTCATTTTACAAATGAGGAAACCGAAGCAAACAAGGTGAAGTGACTGAGGCCAGATATGAACTCATGAACATGAGTCTTCCTAATTCCAAGCCCAGCGCTCTATCCAATACTAACTTTGTGACTATAAGTTACAGAAAAGGTTCTGCCCTGCATTGGTGGATGGAATTTCCTCACCTGGAAGTTCCCTAAACTAATAATACCATGAGCCTTGTCTCTGGTCCTGGTATTGTTATTATTTGCTCTTATTCATATTTCACATGGTTAATATGGAGCTTTTTAGAGATTGCTCATTTGTTCTTTTTGATTATTTTAGCAAAAACTTTTAGAAAGCATGCTCAGGCATTTAGTAGGCAGCTTGACATCT